TTTTTGATAATAAGAAAACTGTTCTCTTAGATTCAACCTAATATTTGACTTCTTACCACATTGATAAAAAAACAGAGTTTTTACACCTAGATGTCCTGCCTTTTTTCTAATACTGGGTTGACAGCACTGTAGAATCAGTTCAGAGGTGATGTTTCCAGTGCGGGGCTCTACTTGGGCTGGTATGAGGGTGAGAAATGAAACTGAATCGTGAATAATAGTAAAAGCTGAGTTTCTTTGCTTGCATTAGCGTCTTATTTTACATTTGCATTTTATCTTATATTAGCACCTTGCCCTTTCACCATTAAAAAAATAATTTGACATGTGGGGGAGGGTGGGGAAAACAGAAGGAAGAACCTTCTAATAACATATCTTGGCAGAATCCTTTCTCCTTTTTTGGAGGGGCCTCATGAGCAGTAAGCTAAGTGCCCTCTGAAAAGTAGTCATGTTAAAAAGCAGAGACATTACTTTGCCAGCAAAGGTCCATCTAGCCAAAGCTATGGTTTTTCTAGTAGTCATGAATGGATTTGATTTAAGAGTTGCACCATAAAGAAAGCTGAGCACCGAAGAATTGATGCTTTTGAACTGTGGTGTTGGAGAAGACTCTTGCAAGTCCCTTGGGCTGCAAGGAGATCCAATCAGTCCATCCTAAAGGGAATCAGTCCTGAATATTCATTGGAAGGACTGATGCTGAAGCTGAAACTCCAATACTTTGGCCACCTGATGCGAAGAGCTGGCTCATTTGAAAAGACCCTGATGCTGGAAAAGATTGAAGGCAGGAAGAGAAGGGGGCGACAGAGGATGAGATGGTTGGATGGCATCACCAACTCGATGGACATGGGTTTGAGCAAGCTCCGGGAGTTGTTGATGGACAGGGAAGCCTGGTGTGCTGCAGTCCATGGGGTCACAAAGAGTCAGACACGACTAAGTGACTGAACTGAACTGAGATTGGAGGCTCTTCGAGAGGTACAAAAGTCTTCTGTTTCTATTAGAAAAATCTAATAGAAACATGATTCGTTGGGTTTTTGTCCTCGTGATGGAAGCAAGATGGGGAGCTGCCCTGTGAGCTGTACTGAGACTCCTCAGGGCCTGGGGGGTATTGGAGGGTCTTGTTCAGGTTACTTACAGATGGTCGGATTCTGGGACCATTTCAACCCCATGCTCAGAAGAAAGGCTGGCACTTCCTGTGTGTCCCTTTCGCAGATCCCGCCTACCGCAGAGCCTTCAGCCATTGAACTGCACTTTTGGAAGCTGCCATCTATTCAGACCCATCGCTGTGTAACAAATAGCGAAAAAAGCCCTCCTAAGACCACGGAAATGCAGAGGAGCCCTGTTGGATCAGCTGACATACTGCCGCTTGGTAGAGAGTGAAAAACACTGCGGTCTCAGCTCAGTCTCCTTCTCCTTGATCCAAAGTGTCAGGGGTGGGGAGCGGGGGCGGGTCAGGCGAAATACGTGAGTGTTCATCCCGTCCAGCAGCACTCGCTGAGTGCCTGGTGATGGAGCAGGAAGACATAACCTTCCCACAGTGGTCTCATGTCCTAGCAAAGGGGGTGGACAGATGCAGAAAAGAGAACAGGATTGCTCACTGCTGTGGGAGGGCCAGGAGCTGAAGGGGCAGCACTCAATCCTCACTCAGTCTTGATTGAACATAGAGATAGGGAGGAAGGATCTAGGCTTTCTTCAGGCGGGGATGGATGCTCCAACTTGGTTTTAAAGGAGGAAGGGCTTTAAGTGGGTGGAGGAAGGGCACATCTGGCAGGAGAGTACATGCAGATGTCCTTTAAGATGTCAGTTCAGCAGGTCTTTGAAGAAGCAAGGATCCTCTTTTGGGGGCTCTCTTAGCATAGCAAACACCAGGGTCTGCACCTGTTTTTGTAAATAAAGTTTTATTGAAACACAGCCACACACATCATTCCATTTCCCCTGCTGTGACTGCTACATCCCAGCAACCATGTGGCCTACCCAGCCTTAGATATTTATTGTCTAGCCCTTTGCAGAAAACATTGGCATAACATAGTTTTATTCCTTGAAACTCTTAGATGAAGTGGACCCACACTGCCAGCAACCAGGCTTTGCCTGCACCTTTCATGGACCTGCTGGTTAATTTTATCATCTGGTGGTTTCTCTTTGCCCCACACTAGCATACCTTCAACTCATTTAGTTGCAATAACTTCTGGCTCCAAACATCCAGAACTAGAATAATACCTATTGTGTGTAACAAAAGAGAGCTACTGACCCCTAATGCATGCGTGCATGATAAGTCGCTCTAGTCATGGCCAACCCTTTGCAACTCTATGGACTGCAGCCCACCAGGCTCCTCTATCCGTGGGATTCTCCAGGCAAAAATACTGGAGTGGGTTGCCATGCCCTTCTCCAGGGGATCTTCCCTACCCAGGGATTGAAGCCAAGTTTCTTATGTCTCGTGCATTGGCGGGGGGTTCTTCACCACCAGCACCACCTGGGAAGCCTACTGATCTCTAAGGAGCCCTTTAAATGTTCACTTACCCCCGAACTTCAGCAATTCTAGACTCTGCTTAGTTTCTCAGAACCTGTGCTGCCTCTTATTTGCTTGTTGAGTGTGAGCGAAATTGGAATTAGTCATTGGAGCAGTAGTCATTGGAAAGCATCTTTCTTCTTTGGTAAGGCAGCCCATCTGTCTGAGGATACTGGAGCTGGCTGTCGGTGTGCGAGTGAGACAGAAGGGGAACTTTAGGGAGATCCACCATTCAAGCCTGCAGTTATTTTAAAAATGAAGAGAATTCATTTCCAGAAGCAGCTGTGCATTTGAAATGTTGCTTTCCTGGATATAGCAATTGAAAGTTGTGTGGAATTATACAGCAAATGCTGCCTCTTAAGCACCTGCTGTGGTCTCTGATACAAGCCGATAGGAGTGCCAACCAGGCTTTTTACAAATATTAACTTATTTAATAAGACCTGGATGGAATAGAACTGCAGTGATTCTGATTTTACAGATGGGAAAACAAAGACTCCAACAAGCGAAGTGTTTTTCATGTTACCAACTGACAGCCTCCAACCTATGATAAGGAAGGTACTGATTTTACGCTCTAGTTATCCTTAGCAGGTAGAATGCTCATTGAAAAGGCTCAATCAAGAGGTCTGGGATTTCTGTTTTAGACTCTCAGATGAACTGAATTTCAAGGAACAGGTACAGCTAAAATTCCTCTTTGCACTGACTGCTGTTTTAGCCCTAGCAGCCATCGACAGTGTTTAAATACCACTGTCAAATGACCTTGTAGTTTGGGATCTAATTTCTGATTAGTACTTTGTATTGAAAATGGTCAGCGGTGAGAAACGGGGACAGTTTTGCAAGCATGTCTATAAAATATAGTTGGTCCCAGAAGAGAAACATGTAGGTTTAGGATTGTCCTAGTTTCCAACTGAAATGATCATTTCTAAGCGAAAACCTGATCATAACTATCTTCTCCTTAAAAGTTTTCAGTGCTCCACCAGCCATGCCCTTAGCACAGAGGCTGGAGTCTTTGTGGCCTTTCTGGTTTGGGCCCTGTCTGACTCTGAGTTGTTGTTGTTCAGTTGCTAAGTTGTGTCCAACTCTGCAACCCCATGAACTGCAGCACACAGGGCTCCCCTGTCTTCACTGTCTCCTGGAGTTTGCTCAGATTTCATGTCCATGGAGTAGGTGATGCTGTCTAACCATCTCATCCTGTGTCATCCCCTTCTCCTTTTGCCTTCAGTCTTTCCCAGCATCAGGGTCTTTCCTAGTGAGTCAGCTCTTCGCATCTCAGTGCCTCACCCTCATTCACTCTCATCTGATCAGGTCCTACATGTGGATGTTTCGCTGAACACCATCTTTACCATTTCCCTCTACCTGGGTCACTTCTGCACCTTCATATCTCAGCTGAGATGCCTCTGGATCCAGGAGGTCTTCTCTGATGCTTAGAGACTGGTCTGGGCATCCTTCCCTGGCCCCGCCCCAATATAAAGCCTTTTAAGCAACTGTTCAGTTTTTGATCAGTTTGTCTGTTGTTCATCATTTAACCATAATCCTCTGTAGGGCATTCTTTTTAGTTTTGATTCTGTAGTTACAAGAAATAGGAGTCCACTTGAGCTTGCTGATAGAAAGGGAGTTTATTGGGAGGAAAGATTGGAAGAATAAGGAGATCTTGGTGGAAATATAAGAACCAGGTCTATACAAAGCTGTACCTTGCATAAGCATCTTGTGGCTTTCTGCTCCTCTGCACACCTTCACCTCTCTCTCTCCTGGGCTGCCTCAGCTCAGGCACTTGTGTGTTTTGTTTTATTGAAATATAGTTGATTTACAGTGTTGTGTTAGTTTCAGATATACAGGAAAATGGTTTCTGTTTTATATATATATTTTTTTTCATATTCCTTCCCCTTACACGTTATTATAAAATATTGAGTGTATTTCCCTGTGCTGAAACAGTAAGACTTTGTTATTTATTTTATATATAGTAGTATGTACCTGTTAATCCCAAACTCCTAAGTTATCCCTCCACTACACCCCCCACTTTCCCCTTTGGTAACCGTAAGTTTGATTTCTATGTCCGTGAGTCTATTTCTGTTTTGTAAATAAGTTCATTTGTACCACTGTTTTCAATTTCGTAAATGACAAGCACACGTGTTCATGAAGCTGCTCATGGCCTCAGTTTGTCTTCATGGCCCAGTCTGGCTTGACCCAGGGACCCTCCTAATCTCCCGGCTTCATTTCCTGCCCCCCGCCCCCCCGCCTACTTGTTTGTTTTCTCAGTTTCCCAGTTGCAAGTTTCTAAGTAATATGGTTGACCCGACTCTTCCTTTCAAACTTGGCCTCACTCATCACAGGCCTCTGACCACCCTGGAGATTGGCTGTGGTTGGGTCAATTCCTCACTGCAGACCAGTCAGACCAGCTGGAGGGGTCAGAGTGTGGCTCCCAGGATAGACTTCTCTTTTCTGTTTGTCTTTCTGTCCTGCACTTGCCATAAACTTGATGGTATCTTTTGTTGTTTTCCCTCTTTTTCAGATATCATTAATGGAGCTCAAGAAAAATGCATATTGCCTCCTATGGATGGCTACCCCCATTGCGAGGGGAAAATCAAGGTAAGTCAAGAGCAATGTCCATTCACCCCCTCCTCCTCGACCTGCACTGACAGCCTGTGGCATCCCCTCCCCTCTCTTCTCCTCCCCAGCGATGCAGATGGGTGATCGAGCCCTCTTTAAGGAAATCATTTAAGGGATGCATCAACCCTGCCAGTTTGGGACTGTGGCCATGACAACCGTTCCCTGCTTATGCCAGCTCCATGGGGTTAGTCAACAGTGACTCACTGGCCAGACTAAAAAAGCTGGGTCATTGCAGGCACCTGCTGTGTCTTTGAAACTGCGTTCCCTCTCTTTCCCGTCCTCCAGTGGGTGATCCTTCAAGAGCCAAAGACAAGGGGCTTCCCTGATTCAGTGTCCACCTCCCCTCTCCCAAGTCCCCAGGCCTCAGCCAAGAGGTCTCCAGATTGTTATTTAAATGTCACATTTGCATGCGCAGTTGAGTACCCAGACGCTGTTGGCCACTCTTTGACTCTTAACATTTGTTTTTTCATCACATTTATGTGGCCAAAGCTTGGCGAGACCACTCCCCTGCTCAGCAGTTTTCAGAGAAAAGTTTCTGTTCTCAGGATGGTGAGGCAAACACCAGAGCATTTTAAATGGCTTCCATATGGGGCTCAAGCACATACTGTGCTCCTGCCTTGATTCCCGCCCGTGCTGTTTTCCAGGCTCCGTGCTGGGGCTGGTGCAACTGTAGGTCTCTGGAAGGGCGCTCTCATGCCAGGGTCTGTGAGGCACTTGCTCTTGAGAAAACACTCCTCCCCACTGGTGCTCCTGGGCTTTACTGCTGGCTGAATCTCACAGCCTCTAGGCAGACGTGCCCACCACAGTGAATGGCTGCTCATCATTGCTCTTCCTCCTCTGGTTGTTTCAGTGGATGAAAAATATGTGGCGCTCAGATCCCTGCTACGCAGAATACGGAGTGGATGGGTCCACCTGCTCTTTTTTTATTTACCTCAGTGAGGTGAGCGGCTTCTTGTGTCTTTTGGGAGGGGTGGAGTCGTGGTTGGTCTGTTCCATAGTTGAGCTTGGAATTTGGAAAGCTGAAAAATGTATATTGTTTTTACATGAACGGTTTATGATTTCCTTTTTCATTGCTCTCCTCTGTCCCCAAGTAGCATGATTTTTTTTTCCCCTTGAGGAAAAAATAGTCTGAGTTCCCTAATTTTTTTTTACCAATTAAAAAAAATGTAGTAAAATACACATAACAAAATTTACCAGCTTAATCATAAAGCGTACAGTTCAGTGGCATTAAGTACATTCATGTTGCTGTGTAACCATCACCACCATCCATGCATCTCCAGAGCGCTTCATCTTGCCAGCCTGAAACTGTTCCTATCAAACCGTGACTCCACAGCCTCCCACCTTCTTCTCATTACTCCAAGCACTCCTGTAAGTGAAATATACTGTATTTGTCTTTTGTCATCCGCTGATTGCATTTGGCATAGTGTACTCAAGGTTCATCCATGTTTTAGCAGTGCATTTGGCATAGTGTACTCAAGGTTCATCCATGTTTTAGCAGGGGTCAGAATGCTCTTCCTTTTTGAGACTGAATAATGTTCCATTATGTATACAGACTGCATATTGTTACCCATTCATCTGTCAGGGGACACTTGGGTTGCCTCCATGTTTGATCAGTTGTGAATGGTACTGCTGTGAGCATGAGTGTACATATAACTCTTTGAGACCCTGATTTCAATTCTTTTGGGTATATATCCAGAAACAGAGCTTCTGGATCATATGGTAATTCTATTTTTAATGTTTTGAGGAACCACCAGACTATTTTCCATAGCAGCTGTGTCATTTTACATTCCCACCAGCAGTGCACAAGGTTCTAACTTCTCAACATTCTCACCAACACTTGTTATTTTCTGTTTTTTCTTTTCTAATGGCCATGTGAATGGGTATGAGGGAGTATCTAATTCATTGTATCACTGTTATTTCCTTACTGATTAGTGATGTTCAGCATCTTTTCATATGCTTCTTGGCTGAGTTAGCTATTTTTTGTACTTACAGACTGAATTATTATTAACTTTCTCCCTTTTTTCCCACCTTTTTATCTGAACTTCATTTTCATTTCTACCCTTGAATTTAAATAGCAGCTTGTTTTTTAAGAGTTACAGGGCATTTTTACAAACCACATGGAATCTATTACATGCTTCAGTGATTTATTTCACCTTTAGAAAGGTTGATGGAGTGGGGTGGGGTTAAGACTTTATTCAGAGCCAGCTACAGAAGAGAACTGAGCAGGGAATGGAAACTCCATTGGCTCTATCAGCCCTCACAAGTAGCCCTCAGAGCTTGTGAAATGGATGCTGGCTAAATTTTTAAGGTTGTGCGCTTGGCAGGCTCTTGGCTTCCATCTCCTTTTATTTGCACCCCTAGTTTTGGTACTGTTGTTGTTTAACCTTAATAACATCTCCCTGGTGATGCCATGCAGAGAGGAGAATGCCTCCATTTTGAGGCTAAATGAAATGTTTTTGCTATACTTTTCCTTGTGGGATTCAGGTGTCTCTCCTCTGTGGCATAAGATGATGGGGGATGGAAGCCAAACCAGTATTGCTCTAGGGCATGTGGCCCTGGTATCTGTGGGATTTGTCCCTCTTGGCACCCTTCTCTTTCCTCTGTAAGAGGCAGACTTTTTTTTTTTTTGGATGAGGTTGCTACATGGCCACCCCAAGGCCATCATGGGAACTATCAGAGTAAATGATAGTTAAAATACCTCTTGGAAATGAAGAAGCTCTGAGAGTTGGGTATGTGATGTACCTTGTGAGCAGGCTGCTGGCAAGTTGACTCTGTAGCATGTACTTGAGTGTGTTTTGAGCTTGGGTGGCCTAGGGCCCGCCTTCTCATTTTCTTCTCCAGGGGAGTAAGGCCTGGGGCTATGGGTGAACCTTCACTCCAGTGAGAAGGCAATTAGAGGCATCTTTCCTGCCCTGAGGAAAAAGTCCCTCATTTAGTTCAATTTTCAAAAGTTTTTTTGCTCATTTCCATTTGATAGAATTTAGCCACAGTCTAACTGGACTCCCTGATTGACAAGCTGAGCTAATTTCACGCCTTCCTGAGAGTCTGCATCTTGGGCAGGACTGCTGAAGTGAAGGGAGAAGAAGAGGATTTGAGTGCCCACTCCAGCCTGGGTCTTCATTTCCTGAGCCAGAGCTGGGGAGGTGCAGGAGAAGGGTTCAGATGGAGAGGACTGCAATTACATATGACCTGGTTCCCTTCCTTTGCAACAGCCACCTTACCACTACCGGAAGGGAAGGAAGGATGTAGCTAAGATGAGGGAAGAGGGAACTTCTGTGGAGGTAAATTGAGAGGAGTGTGGGATAGACTGGGCTGCGTAAAGATGGGATGGATCATGTAGACTTGATATTGGAGCCTGGGTATCTTGTTTCAGAACCTTTAACTATTTTTTTCTCCTTCCAGGACATGGAGTGGTGCTTCGTTTGCCTGTTCGACCTATTCTACTCTTTTCTTATGCAAATGATCAGACTTTCCTTTTTGTTCCACTGAACTCAGTTCAGTGAGCACTTACTGAACATCTATTATGTTCATTGATTGTCAACAGTTACTGAGAACTCATTTCCTTGGCACCATGCTATGCATTCATTATCTTTAAAGTCTAATAGAAGAGAAAGCCTGGATACAGGTAATTGAGCCAGGAAGGGGTCCTGGGAAACAACTAGGAACTTCTTCAAAGTTTCAATGTGAAAATTATCTTGAAACTCTGGCACTTAAAGAAAAATTTTTTTCTTTTTTCAAAGCATCTTAATAGGTACCCTATAAGAGAAGAAAATGTAACCAATATGAGCCTTTCAATAGTCAGTACTGTCTTAGAGCCTCACACCTGACTTCAGCTTCTGTTTCTGATGCATGCTAAACTCTGTGCTCTTGGAATAGTTGCTCTCTCTGTGTCTCAGGTTCTTCCTTTATAATATAAAAGTTTTAATTTTGTTTTTAAAGAATCCAACCTTGAAGATTCCTGAGTCTCTATGGGACCATGCTTAGAGTAGAGCCTGATAAATGATAATCATTTTAACTGATACTTTCACGAAAAGTTTTTTTTTTTTTTAATTTTACTTTCGTGGAGGGTATTTAGTTTTTTTATTTAACTATGGCTGATTTACAATATTGTCTTAGTTTCAGGTCTGTCTCTCTGTGTGTGTATAAAATATATATATCTATATTCATTTTCAAATTCTTTTCCCATATACGTGTTAAGTCGCTTCAGTTGTGACCGACTCTTTGCAACCCTATGGACTGTAGCCTGCCAGGCTCCTCTGTCTGTGGGATATTCCAGGCAAGAGTGCTGGAGTTGTTTGCCATGCCCTCCTCCAGGGGATCTTCCCAACTCAGGGATCGAACTTGCATCTCTTATGTCTCCTGCATTGGCAGGTGGTTTCTTTACCACTGGCGCCAGCTGGGAAGCCCCCTTTTCCTATATAATTACAAAATGTTGAGTGTAATTCTCTGTGATATATAGTAGGTCCTTGTGGTTTATCTGTTTTATATATAAAATTGTGTGTGTGTGTGTGTGTGTGTGACTCCCAAATTGCTAATTTACCCCTCCCCCCCACACACCTTTCCTCTTTGGTAACCATATGTTTGTTCTCTATGTCTGTGCATAATAGATTTTTGATGTTGCCCTTATTTGAGTACAGTTGTGGAGTGTCATATAGTCCAGGACATTTTCTATTGGGACTTTGATTTCCTTTTAGAATTAGAATGAATTTTTGGCTCTCATTCACCAATCTCATTTCATTCTAGATCCCTAGACTTCTAGCAATATAGAAGGATATAGTTCTCCTTGGCTTCCTTTCTCAGGATGTGATGCTTGTTCATATTAAAATCATGAACTGGATGTGTGGAAGCGCAGTGCACCTCTTGCCATTGTTAAAATGAAATTATTAGAGATGTTTACTAAATGCTGTTAATTCTGTTCTAGTAGTCTATAAATCTTGGACAACATCTATGGCTTTGTGGTGCTGTTTTTGTCTGTTTTTTTTCCTCTTGCTTTCTTCACACTTTTCTTCTTTTGTTACTCCATTTAACCTGTATCATACGCCAGCTTACTCTTGCATTTGGGAAGGTGATTGACAGACATTTTCATTTGATTTTTTTACTTCATCAGTGAATACACTGGTGATTCTGATTCTTTTCTTAATCCTTATTGAAGAGCAGAGGATGCGATGATTAGCATCCCTGACTCCATGGACGTGAATCTGAGCAAACTGGGAGGTAGTGAAGGGCAGGGGAACCTGCTATGCTGCAGTCCATGGGGTCACAGAGAGTCAGACTTGACTTAGGGACTGAACAACCACAAAAGCTGAAGAAGAGCCAGATCTTGTTTCCATGTACGTTTAACTCCAGAGCTTTGACAAATATGAAAAAGGGCATGAAGTAAAATATCTCCCATAGTCAGTCACTAGTTGAATTGAGGCATTTAGATTCAGGCCAGTCTTATAAGACGGCACTCTTTCTGCATTTTTCTTCCCCTGAAACTTTAATCTTCCCCTCACCAACTAGTAGTCTACCAGCCTCTTAAGGGGACTCTCAGAAGGCAAAGCCATCAGTATTTATTCGTCATTATCCCCACAGATGCTTGTTATGTGTCTGACGCTGTATTAGGGCCTGGGTGTGGTGCTCAGAGTCTCAGCATTGCCCTTCTTGGGTGGCAGACGGTAAGAGAAGAATGAAACGTGACCGAGCCCCGTGTGTACCTGACACCTCAGATGCACAGTGCCATTTCAGCCTCTCCCCAGCTCAGAGAGCTGCACTTAGAGGCTCCAAGAGGTTTAGTCACTTAGTACTTCTGCACTCGCCATTACTGTTGCCCTTTCACATCAAATGAAAGCTGAATTCAAATGAAGCCATCTGTCACCGTTGCCTTTGCATTCAGTTCTATTCTCCAATCCACCTGTGTTTGAAACACAGCTCTAAGTTACCTGGTTTCCATTAATCAGT